GGACGACTTCAACACAGGTGGGAGCAATTGTTATTGATAATCAGCACAGGTGAGATGCATTGATAATTATTGATAATCATCTGTTGTTGCCAGGCCTGTGGTGGGAGTGGTAGCTTATAATTATTGATAATTATAGATAATTATCCAATGTTGCCAGGCCTGTCATACATGAGTGATAATTATAATGGATAATTATATATTGTTGCCAGGCCTGCAGTGGGAGTGATAATTGATAATTATCCATTGTTGCCAGGCCTGTCGTACATGAGTGATAATCATGGATAATTATCTGTTGTTGCCAGGCCTGTGGTGGGAGTGATAACTGATAATTATTCATAATTATGTATAATTATCTGTTGTTTCCAGGCCTGTTGTACGTGATTGACAATTATTGATAATTATAGATAATTATCCATTGTTGCCAGGCCTGTCGTACGTGATTGACAAGCGGACGGGAGAGTGCACGGTTTCCGCCGTCAGGAATAACAGCGCCACAGTGGGAGTGATAACTGATAATTATAGATAATTATCCATTGTTGCCAGGCCTGTTGTACATGAGTGATAATTATAGATAATATCTCTTGTTGCCAGGCCTGTCGTACATGATTGACAAGCGGACGGGAGAATGCACGGTTTCCGCCGTCAGGAATAACAGCGCCACAGTGGGAGTGATAACAGTGATAATTATAGATAATTATCCATTGTTGCCAGGCCTGTTGTACATGAGTGATAATTATAGATAATATCTCTTGTTGCCAGGCCTGTCGTACATGATTGACAAGCGGACGGGAGAATGCACGGTTTCCGCCGTCAGGAATAACAGCGCCGCGGCAGACGACCTTCCCGTCGACCCCTTCCACGTGCGGATGATGACAGCCGAGGAGTTCTTCCATTTCGAGAACGCGAGCTGGGCTTACGTCGGGGAGGTACAAAATTTCGCTTCAGTACTCTGGCTTACTGTTACCTTTAGCGAGCTGGGCTTACGTCGGGGAGGTACAAAATTTACCTTTAGCGAGCTGGGCTTACGTCGGGGAGGTACAAATTTCGCTTCAGTACTCTGGCTTACTGTTACCTTTAGCGAGCTGGGCTTTCGTCGGGGAGGTACAAAATTTACCTTTAGCGAGCTGGGCTTACGTCGGGGAGGTACAAAATTTACCTTTAGCGAGCTGGGCTTACGTCGGGGAGGTACACATTTACCCTTTAAAGCACTCTGGTAACAAATCAGTCATACCAGGGGTACTCATCATAGAGTTTGGCAGCAGGGAGAAGGTAGCTATTTTCTTTGGGAATTCAAATTCCGGTTCTTTGATAATAAGAAAAATTGCCGCTGGACATGAAAACACAGTGTGAGTGGAGAGTTGACTAGCCGAGTAGATACATGTATGTTGTGCCGCAAACCGTGCCCAGGCACAGAATGGGACATACAGGCACGGTTCTGGACATAACAGTATCCATCACATCCTGTTTCCTGCGCTTCAGGTGGACGTTGGCGGCCTCCCCTGCATGAAGTGGATCGCTCTGAGGGAGGATTTCCCGCCCGGCAGCCCCATACAGACCACCTGGGAGTGGAGCTTTGCTCAGGTGAGTTCTGCAGACTGTGGATAACATAGACTAATGATTGAATCATGGATTGCAAGGATTGTTGTTTATCTTACGACCTTTACTGTCCTCAGCCCTGACCTCTGACCTTTACCCTGTCCCCAGCTCTGACCTCTGACCTTTACCCTGTCCCCAGCCCTAACCTCTGACCTTTACCCTGTCCCCAGCCCTAACCTCTGACCTTTACTGTGTCCCCAGCCCGGTTGGACGTCTGCGATGCCGTCTGGGTCAGATTTGACATCCGAGTCCTTCCCGGTCATGCTGGAGGTGCGCGGAGTCCACAGAACGGTAAAGCCTCTCTATACCTTTATCTGTATAGCAGTATTCATGTAACTGCCCTTCGGCATAACACACCAGCTTTGCAGGCACGCAGCATGGCGGCAGCTGGCTACATGTACATTACACCAAATGACATATCCCAATCAAAAACAAATAAACAATGCCAATAGTGCTTAGTGATTAGTTTTTAAGTAATTTTTTTGTGTTTTGTTGTCTTTTACTTTCATATCATTAACTTTGTTCCCACTTGCAGGACTTTGCCTTCAGCTACAGTTCTGTGATTCCAATATGTCTTCTCCTCTCCTACAGAACTTTGCCTTCAGCTACAGTTCTGTGATTCCAATATGTCTTCTCCTCTCCTACAGGACTTTGCCTTCAGCTACAGTATCTCCCTGTTCAGCGAGGTCGTGGACATCACCAACTTTGACGTCGTGTCTCCGTGTTTCACCACGGATCAGAAGAAACGCGTGCAGATCATATTCCCAGGTGAGACAAGATGTGGGAAGACAATTTAATACACCTGATAACTTACTATCTAACCACCTGGCCAGGTGATTCCAAGTCACTTGCCTAGTCTCAGATGCGCTGAAGACAATATGTAGACTTAACATGAAAGTTCATCTGTGTTGGTATACTTCATTATGACCAAATGGGCTAAACCAAAAGGGTGTAAGCCCTTTTGGTCATAATAATATTATGTAAGACGTGACTTGACATAGTTCTCTTCGCCCACTCTGGAGCACAGTGCCTCGTGAGTCTCCAGTGTTTCCAGTTCTCTGCAATCTTCTTAGTCTCTTGCCAGGTTATGTTGGCTGTGTAGAAAAATGTTTAAGAAAACAGAGGAAAACTTGCATGTGAGTGAAATGTGTTCTGACGGGAAGATCCCGCCCCCCCACAGGCCAGTTTCCGGCAGAGCTGAACTTGAACTGGTTCCGGACGGCACTGAAAAAGGGCGTGGCCTCGGCCGCACAGGTGTCGTCGCTACGGGTAACCGACATACAGGTGGGACAAAACATCTCAAACTCAGGCCTACATCATTTTACACATGTCAGACTGAATATCATCACCTGTTCACCGACATACAGGTGGGACACAATCTACAAAAACTGTACAAGCAGATCCTAACAAACCTGCGAGGCACTATCCAGCTGAGCTACACTGTTGACAGTTGACAGGCACTGTCTGTAATGATAGAGAATAGGACACAACATGTCAAACTGAATTTCATTCATTGGGGAAATCCTTACATTAGTGTGTTGATGGCTACTATAAGGAGTGTTTTTATGTTTACCCTCGCAGAAAGAAAACGCATTGTTTTTGCTCAGTTTCTTCTTCTTCTGCAAATACACAAGGTCTTTGACCAGACCAGATGTCTGTCACCATAGTAACTAATGCTGTATCAGATCGGACTACATTTTGTACATGACTTGCAGCAGGACAGAGTTTGAATGTGTTTGAGCATATGTCAGAATAAACTTAGTGGTTTGCTAGGCTAGACCATGTGAAGGTAAACATCATGCATTTTGCTTTGTAAAAGTTACCCTAGCTTCTAGTTTACTGATGAAATCCTTCCCGTTCAGATCGACCGTTACCCGAGCCAGATCGTGGTGGAGGCGACGCTACTCGATGTCACTCAGGTCACGGGAGACGTCCTCAAACCCGTGTCAGGGGTCAATATGGAGGAAGCCTTCGTCAACCTGCGAAACTCGGTCCAACAGGGAACACTCCGCTTCCTGGTCCCCATCGGACATGTCGACTTTAACGTGAGTCGCTTGTTTGTTTGTTTGTTTGTGAGTCTGTGTAACTCAGTCCAACAGGGAACACTGCGCTTCCTGGTCCCCATCGGACATGTCGACTTTAACGTGAGACGCTTGTTTGTTTGTTTGTTTGTTTGTTTGTGAGTCCACGAAACTCAGTAAAACAGGGCACACTGCGCTTCCTGGTCCCCATCGGACATGTCGACTTTAATGTGAGTCGCTTGTTTGTTTGTTTGTTCGTTTATTTGTGAGTCCACGAAACTCAGTACAACAGGGAACACTGCGCTTCCTGGTCCCCATCGGACATGTTGACTTTAACGCGAGACGCTTGTTTGTTTGTTTGTTTCTTTGTGAGTCTGTGTAACTCAGTCCAGCAGGGAACACTGCGCTTCCTGCTGCCCATTGGTCATGTCAACTTTAACACGAGCTGTTTGTTTATTTGTGAGTCTGTAAAACTGATCCTGATCAGACGTGCCGAATTTAACGTGAGCTGCTTGTTTGTTTGAATATTTGTTTATTTTTTTGTGAGCCTGTGGACGTTGGTCCAATGTTGACGTAATTTCAAATTATTGTAATTTTTTTCTTGTGGAATTAGGTCTGTTCTGAAACTTTTAAGTCATGTTGTTCCAGCGGGAGCCTCTTCGAGCGTCTTTTGTTCGAGAAATCGGGATTCACTCCACGGCAGCAGAGCAAGGTGCTCGTTCATTTTGCTCAATTCTACTTCTGAATTTTCAAAGTTTGTAAATACATTTACTGATAGATACATGTAGTTGCTGATAAAATTTACCCACCCCCCGTTCGGAGGCACACGATTTTATTAGTGGTACGTTTGTCTTTACTTGAAATTTTGGACAGTTAATTTACGGCCTGACTGAGGCTGGTGTGTACTGAAGGCAAAGAGTTGAGTTCTAGTGTTACCATGACAACTATTACCCCCTGCAGTGACGTACACGAAGGGAAGCGTGCGATTGGTCGGCGGGCGGACGTCGGGCCAGCTGCAGCTGGAGCGTACCACCGGGGAGTGGGGAGGGGTGTGCAGCATGGGCTGGGACGTGGCCAGCGCTCGCGTCGCGTGTCGGCAGCTCGGGTACGATGGCGCCAGTCAGGCAACCTACTGCGTCAACGAACCTGTTTCACCAAGGTATCTGTATTAGCTGATATAACCACCCTTTGGCATAGACATAACACAACTGTTACAGCTTTGCAGCAACCTACTGCGTCAACGAACCAGTTTCACCCAGGTGGGTTCTTAGACATTTTTCAAGTGAAGGTTATGTTCGAGGAATCAAATCAAAAAAAGAGCTGGAAGAAAAAACAAGAATCTAGCAAAGGACGTATCATTCATTGAGTAACCCCCTGACACTGTGTGTACCCAACTATAGACATTCTTCGTGGACTGTTTTCACACGATAGATCTTCTAGTTCAACTTGACTAGTTTCTAACCAGAGAAACAACAAATAGAACCTGACCTTGCCCTTGTTCCGCAGATCCGTGAGTACGACCCCGGTGACCTGGCTGTCGGGCGTGCGCTGTTCCGGGACGGAGGACTCCGTTCTGTCCTGCGGGAACTCCGGCTGGCAGTCCGCGCCATGCGACAGCGCAGGGGTCATCTGCATCGACACCGTCGTCCCGGCAACCACCCAGGCACCGCCCGCCAGCCCCGCATCAGCTCCTGTTACCATGGAAACCCCTCCTGCCTCCACACCTGGCAGCTGCGACCAGGCGCCGCAGACAGCTGTCACATACGGGACGGGTAAGGTCTCACAAATATGTATATTATATAACGTTCTATCATAGTAAAGCTTAGCAAGACTTTTTAGACACCTGTGAGTGTAGCAGACACCTGACAAATGTACTATCTAATCTCAGCTTACTGCAGCAAACTTGTGGCAAGATGATATATATCCAGGCAACCATTTATTGTCGTATTTTGCAGGTGTTCTAGCGGGGACTGCCGTGGCCATGCTCGTCCTCGGAGGGGTCATCGGGAACGGGGTCGGATTCTTAGTCAGGAGAAGTTTGCCACAGCTGATGTAGCAAAGCTTCTGCCACAGTTGATGTAGCAAACTTTCTGCCACAGTTGATGTAGCAAACTTTCTGCCACAGTTGATGTAGCAAACTTTCTGCCATAGTTGATGTAGCAAAGCTTCTGCCACAGTTGATGTAGCAAAGCTTTCTGCCACAGTTAATGTAGCAAAGCTTTCAGCCACAGTTGATGTAGCAAAGCTTCTGCCACAGTTGATGTAGCAAAGCTTCTGCCACAGTTGACTGGACCAAGTTGGTTATGGCCTGTTGTCTGACACTCCTGTCCAGTTACACCTGCTCTTACTTGTATTTTGAGATCCGATTGTTGTTTTTACCTCATAAGGGGGGTGGGGGGGTGAACTCTGGTAAAACTGAATTTCAATCCGAGCTTAAGTTTGGAGGGCATTTATATACATGTACCAAGTAAGACTTGTACATGATGTCTGCGTGGCCCAAACTCTCATCACAGAAAGGATTGTCACATTTCGTATCACCTTTAATATGTTGCATTGGTGAAAAATAAAGAGACCAAGTTGAAATACAGCTATATACCCTTCATGTATTAATTGTTACTTTTGTCAGACTATAAAATTAAATCAGCTCTATCTACACTAATTATACATTGTACACTGCCAATACATGAACATCAGCAAGGATGTGCATCACTGGGATTTTGGCCTTTTTAAAAATTAATGACAGTGTTAACTTCAAGTTAAAATCTAAAGGATTAATCAGCCTTCTCTCAGAAATTAACGAGTTTGAGCAAAAATTACACCAGTCCTGTGCTATTTCTTCTTAATCTGAAAGCGAGGACAGTACAAGTTCACATTGATTAAACATTTACAGTCAATAGGTCCTAACTCACACCGTTGCAGTGCTCTAATCTTACAACTGAGTTATAAAATCTAATCTCCGACTTTTCATCTTCCAGCCCATTTGCATCTTTTCAGAAACTTTACTGTCAGTATTTTTGGTACTTAGACCTACATGTAAACTTATGATTATGACATTTTCCCCACATCTGTTAATGATGAGATGTGATGAGTGTGATGGGTGATGAGAACCAAGACAGTGACTTGAGTGGCCCAGTATTGCCATGTTCAGCCAGTCCTACGAACAAGCTGAGATTACTGAGCAGATCAGGCACCAAATGATGACAGAATGACAAGGAAGTTAGAAATGACTGGGGAGGCTATGTGCTGACTGTAACAGCCTGTGGGGGGGAGGCTACACGCTGACTGTAACAGCCTGAGTGGGCGACGAATCAGGGCTGGGGAGGTTACACACTAACTGTAACAGCCTGTGTAGGCGACGAATCAGGGCTCCCCTCTCTCGAGGTCTTCTTGGTTCCAACTTCCTGCTGAAGCTCCTCAACTCTCTTCTGCAGCTGAGAACAAACAGTAAAGGGACAAGACATGAGTATCTGAACATACAAACAACATTACTGTAACAAGGCTTAGATGTTAGAATATACCCAAGCAGTTAAGACTAAAAGGAAGGGCATCCAGATAAAACCAAGACCAAACTACATTATAGTCAAAACCAGACCAGTTCTAACCAGTCAAAACCAGTTCTAACCAGACTAAACCAGTCCAAACCAGTTCTAACCAAACCAGTTCTAACCAAACCAGTTCTATCCAGTCCAAACCAGTTCTAACCAGTCCAAACCAGTCCAAACCAGTTCTAACCAGACCAGCTTACCTGTGCTCTCAGCTCCAGTAGTTCCCTGTTCCTCTGACTGAGAGGCTCCTGTAGGGTATGAGAGAATCATACATCAAAATTAACCAGAAAACAAGGTCCTGCAATCTTATTGGACAGCGTTCAATGGAAACATTGGATGTCAGGCTCTGCTGCACAAATGTTCAGGCCACATTTAGATATTACTGTACTGCTAAATAACACATGCGTGCGGTCTCATATTGAGGTTCATACAGGGGTTCCAGCATGTGCACATCTGTGGTCTCATATGGGGGTTCCAGCAGATATACACTCACCCGTGGTCTCATACGGGGGTTCCACTCACCTGTGGTCTCATATGGGGGTTCCAGCAGATATACACTCACCCGTGGTCTCATACGGGGGTTCCACTCACCTGTGGTCTCATACGGGAGTTCCAGCACATACACACTCACCTGAGGTCTCATACGGGGGTTCCACTCACCTGAGGTCTCATACGGGGGTTCCAGCAGATGTACACACCTATGGTCTCATACGGGGGTTCTACTCACCTGTGGTCTCATACGGGGGTTCCAGCGGATGTAGTAGGCCTTCCAGAGCTCGATGCGGCGCAGGCTGGCGACCGGGAAGATGACATGCTGGTGCGAGTACGCCGCGTACAGCGGGTTCCGGAACTCGTCAGGCCGGTCGTTAATGTACGACCAGAGCGACACCGTGTTCTGCCGCACACCCTGGGTATCGGGTTACAGAAAGGTGGTCATTAACACCATGTTCCCCGCACACCCTTGGTATCGGGTTACAGAAAGGTGGTCGTTATTGTGTGATCAGAACGACACTGTGTTCCCCCGCACACCCTGGGTATCGGGTTACAGAAAGGTGGTCATTAATGTACGACCAGAGCGACACCGTGTTCCCCCGCACACCCTGGGTATCGGGTTACAGAAAGGCGGTCGTTAATGTACGACCACAGCGACAACGTGTTCTGCTGGACACCCTGGGTATCGGGTTACAGAAAGGCGGTCGTTAACACTGTGTTCCCCGCACACCCTGGGTATCGGGTTACAGAAAGGTGGTCGTTATTGTGTGATCAGAGGGACACCGTGTTCCCCCACACACCCTGGGTATCGGGTTACAGAAAGGTGGTCGTTATTGTGTGATCAGAGCGACACCGTGTTCCCCCACACACCCTGGGTATCGGGTTACAGAAAGGTGGTCGTTAATGTACGACCAGAGCGACACCGTGTTCCCCCGCACACCCTGGGTATCGGGTTACAGAAAGGTGGTCGTTAATGTACGACCAGAGCGACACCGTGTTCCCCCACACACCCTGGGTATCGGGTTACAGAAAGGTGGTCGTTAATGTGCGACCAGAGCGACACCGTGTTCCCCCACACACCCTGGGTATCGGGTTACAGAAAGGTGGTCGTTAATGTACGACCAGAGCGACACCGTGTTCCCCCGCACACCCTGGGTATCGGGTTACAGAAAGGCGGTCGTTAATGTACGACCACAGCGACAACGTGTTCTGCCGCACACCCTGGGTATCGGGTTACAGAAAGGTGGTCGTTAACACTGTGTTCCCCGCACACCCTGGGTATCGGGTTACAGAACAAACATTTAGCCATCATGCAGGCCAGAACAACGCAATTTGTCGGTTCTTGGATCAACATTGAGCACTCAGTTGCTACAACGTACGAAAGTCACTTACATTGAGAAGAGGGCGTTATATATCAAGGAATCATGCTTTTTGCCTTTTAAATATATGTGAAAAAATAAATACAACTTGTGAAAGGATAATTTGATGAATGTGTAAAATCTCACCTCCTTGTCCTGTATCTGTTCTGCGTTGCAGAGGAAAGTCCCAAAAAGGCAGCTGTAGGCGTGGTCCAGAACCGTGATCAGGAAATGTTCGTTAAACTCCAGCGCTACAGGGAACTGGGGAGGGGGGACAAAATATAATTAATTATCACACACTATTTGCCAGTACTGGCACAGGGAGACCTAAGGTAAGGTTATAGATTGTACACAATACCAGTGCAACTGGGAACTGGGAGGGACAAATGTGTCATTATCAAACACATGTACACCAGTTCCTACACACCATGCAAATGCGTCATCATCACACATTACATGTATGTTCCTGTAAGCACAGGAGGACCTACAGTGCAACTGAGAACTGTGGAGGGAGGAAATGTTTCATTATCACACACAGGAGGGCCTAAGGTAAGCTCATACACATGACTAGTGCAACCGGGAACTGGGGAGGGACGAATGTGCCATGTCAAACACATGTACACCTACCTAACTACACACCACACCATATATTATGTAACATCATCATCATGTACATTTATAAATTACAATAGTCAAACAAAAAAAAACATCCTAGTTTAGTAGTTCAGCAGGTGAGAATTTGGGCAGGTGAGAAGTAAAGCAGGTGAGAATTTGGGCAGGTGAGAAGATAGTCTGACCTGTCTGGAGATCTGCCACACACAGTCAATGAACTGCAGGAAGACGGGCGACCGGTCGGCGTCGGCGTGGTTCTTGTCTCCATGCCCCAGCCTCTGGAAAAGGGCAAACAAACAGTCAAGATACACAGGTACTGGAAGTAAGGCCTCACTACACACACATGCAGACACACACACGTTTCTTATCCCCTTGCCCCAGCCTCTGCAAAAAGGCAAGATAACAGGTACTGGAACTATGGCCTCAATATACACACAGACACACACCCTAACCTCCATCAACGTAAGGCTGCACCACACGCACGCACGCACGCATGCACACACACACACACGCGCACACACACGCACACACACACACACGCGCACACACACACACGCACACACACACGCACACACACAAACATGCACACGCACGCACACACACACACACACGCACACACACAAACAAGCACTCACACGCACACACACACACGCACACACACAAACATGCACACGCACGCACACTCACACACACACACATGCACACTAAAACAATAGTTGCTTCAAATTCAAACGTTTTCACAAGAAATTCTCTACACATCCAAACAAATCCAAGCTTAGCAAATGTAGCAGAAATGAAAATGTATCCAATCTTGGCTCACTGTAGCGAACTTGTGGCCAAACGAGATCCACTCCTTCTCAATCAGCAGCTCGAATCCACGGATGGTTCGGTAGAACGGATCCAACATCAGCATAGCCAGTGCCGTCAACTGTAAACACAAACAACAACATCAGCATGGCCAGTGCCGTCAACTGTAAACACAAACAACATCAGCATGGCCAGTGCCATCAACTGTAAACACAAACAACAACATCAGCATGGCCAGCGCTGTCAGCTGTAAACACAAACAACAACATCAGCATGGCCAGCGCTGTCAACTGTAAACACAAACAACAACATCAGCATGGCCAGCGCTGTCAGCTGTAAACACAAACAACAACATCA